CTAAAAATAACCCCCCCCCACCTTTTTTTTTTAGAGGGCATGTCTGTTGCTAAGGGAGGGCATTTCTCCTCTAAGTTGTCTTCTTCCAGGAACAAAAATGGATTTGCAGTTTTTTTTGCTTCTTTGTTGTTGTTGTTTTTTTTACTGTTTACTGAATTTGCATACTGACATCAAATTAAAGAAGCTGCTCAACATGACAACTACAGTGAAAAGTGAAGATAATGCACCGTGACTCCACCCTCCACTGCATGCATACCTGTTTTTAATTTTTTCTGTGATGGCCTAAAAATACTTCTTTCATTTACTATCTTAGATGTTTCTGCTGATTCCTTGATGGCTGTGGCCAGTGAATCGTGAATTAAATGAGAAGCTTTTTTCCCATTATTCCTTCTTTCAGAGCACAATTAAATAATAAAGACACTGAAACAATGAAGAGAACAATCGGTGAGGTATAGAACAAACAACAAACCTGCTCCACTCACAGCACAGTCTGCAACATCTTTCAGCCCATCTATCTGTCCTCACACCCCCCACATCGCTGTCCATCTCACTCATTTTTGCAATTACCCTTCTCCTTCTGCCTCATCCCCTATTGAGTTCCCAAAATCTCTTTCTTTTTCCTTCCTTTTTTCCCTTTTTCTACTCACTGTCAAGTCCTCCTCTCCCAAAGAGGGTACTAATTATCCACTAAAACCAGCCAGTTAAAGGAGACTTTATTCAGCAAAATGCTGAGGACTGCAACCCAAGGTGAGTGTGTGTGTGAAGTAGAGATAGTTCAAGGGAGCGGAAAAGAGGATAGAAATGGATAAATGAGAGGGGGTCTGAGTGGAAAGTGAAGAAGAAGAAGGAAGAGAGTGATGGAGGGCCAAGGTGAAGGAGGTAGGAAAGGAGAGAGGAGAGGGAGACAGAGTAAAGGAAGGTCTTGACTTCATTTTCTCCATGGGGGGTGAATCCTTTTTGGAAGTGTGACATTTGGCGTAACAGGATCCTGTCAGCGGGCAAGCCACGGGCTTCACACACACACAGAGCTAGAAAAGAGTTCATGCACACTAAATGTTAGGTTACAACCCATAGGGATGTGCTAGTTTGTGCTTGGCTGTCACAGCATGGGGTGGCGTCTGTGTGTACGCACATATGTGCATACTGTACTTAGAAGTTAGCATACATGTGTGCAAGCAGAATGTGGGATGTTCGACCAGACAAAAAGGATGAAAGAGGCTCCAGGTACGACAAGCTTATCATGAACTCTTCCTCCTTCTTTCCTCCCATCACTCCATCATTGCCCCAGGTGATGATATTATCATTGTTAGAGAGAAGGTCATCCAGTTGATCAGCGGTTTCTGTCTGTGTGGAGCTGTGTGGGTGTATATATTGCATGTAGCTACATAATTATGCAAGATTGAACATATATGTGTGTGCATGTGTGTGCATAATTTTGTGAGAAGCATAATTATGCTACTGTGTGCAATTATGCAGGTCAAATACATGCGTTTACGCGCGTGCATAAACACATCTATTTGCTGGTCCCATGGCCTTAAGTGAATTTGTAACTTGCATGAGTATCTGTGTGGCCTTATTTTTCTGTACTGAGATGAAAACTGGGAGCACACCTGCTTCACTGGGACTGTTGCCACTTGTGGGTACCAGAGGCTGATCCCCATGACATAGCTTGTTGAATTTGACAAAAATAATGTAGTTTAAAGTTGAAGCTTTGGTTAAGGTTGGGGTAAGGTTAGGGTTAGGCATTTAATTCCGATGTTTAAGTTAGATTAAGGGGCTCTGGAGTGTGTTATGTCAGCGAGTGTCCTCACAAAGATAGAAGTACAAGCATGTGTGTATCTGTGTGTGTGTGTGTGTGTGTGTGTGTGTGTGTGTGGTGGGGGGGGGCAAAGAATCAAGAGCCAAAAGCATCACACAGTAACCAAGATAAAGGAGCGCTCACGGCCCATTTTGACTCTGTTTGGATAAACACCAACCTAGAGAGCCAACATCAGTTGGCTCTGCACAAAGCCAGGGTCCATTTCCTAAAAGGCTTTTGGGATGATTCCTTCACAGGAGCCAGCATAAGCTGAGACAATCCAGTGGCTCTTCCAGCAGCCCCACCTCTACCTCCAAAGCTGAGAAATTTGCTTTGGTGGCACAGGGTGGTGGGAAGTCTTGGGGACTGTCCTCCAACCCAGACTCAATTCCATTAGTCAAGCATCTCATTTTAACAAGACAAGTCATCACCAACTATAGGAGTGCATCTGGACATTTCACTCTTCCTTTACAGTCCAGTCCAGTTTGTTACTGCGATGTCCTAAGCAATGACAGTGTGGCAGTGAGTCAAGAGCAAGAGCTGAAAATTTAAGAAAATTAATGGAATTAAGTGATCATTCATTTTATTACTATGCTTGCTGTTCCTGCCAAAATCACATCCATGAAGAATGCCAATCAAGATCAGGTCAAAAGCGTTGGGTACATGAAATCTGCTTGACCTTTTTGTTCCTCACTTTCAGGTGAAGTCAGGCAATGTCTTAGCTAATTGGTTAAGCAGCTAAGGTTACTACCAAATAAGGTCAAAGTTGAAACTGACTCAAATTTGCATGCAGGTTCAGCACCGTGGTCTCTACCATTAGTGTGGCCTGTATCCTCTGGGCTTCTTGCATCAAAATTTATAGGCTGCAACTAATGATATGTGCCAGAATTCATTTAGCAGTTTTCAAAATAATTGTTAAAATCTCTTTGGTCAAAATAAAACTCTGCTTTATCATTTAAAGCTTGAAATGACAGTTCAACAGTGTTTTTGCCAAGGGTGACACATGCACCACTACATAGTGAATATCTTTCTACTCACAAATAAGTATGCATCATATTTGTGGAGGAATCGCACAAAAAAACCCATAAATTTAGTCAGTGTGCCTTTACCCAAATAGAAATAATCTGAACTTGAGGTTGGGGTCACTACACAATTTTTTTTAGTCAGAATTAAACAAAAACACTTAAACATTCGCTAAAAATGGAAAAGTGACCCATAAATGTATTCATTTTTCATTTGGGCTCATGTGCAAACACAAACAGTGAATCAGGCACATGTAATGTGCCTTAGGTTAGTGAGGCTTAAAATATAGCGAGTGTGACAAATAATCACCGATCACAAGACACGTTTCTCACAAAGCCAAACAGACTGAGAGCTGTGAACCAGCCCTGATTCACTCGTCATTCTATGACTTACAAGTTCTATGACTTACAAGTAAAAAACAAAAATGCTCTCCCTGTCTGTCCTCCTCCTCTATTCATTTTTACTCCTGCCTGCCTCCTCCCCTCTTCCATGGGCCCCTTGGCCTGGCAGCTGATCCTCTCTTCCCATCACCTCCCTTTACATTTGGCCTGAGCCAAGCCGCCTGCCATCACCATCAAAGTGCAGGCTGCCTCCCAACTGTTAGCACCCCACTACGTCGCTAATAAAAAGCCTGGGTTATAAATATGAACAGAAGAGCATGCATAATGTCCTGAAGGAAGGCCCAAAACACCACTAAACAGATAAATGTAATGGGGTGGATACGGCTCATTAATTTTAGAATGATCGTGTTTAGTTTTTACAGATGCTGTAATAGAGACAAGGTGCTATCAGTGATATTCAGCGCTGATGCTAGCGGGGTTGAAAAGGGCAGGACTATAAGGGGGTGCTGAGTTATAGGGGTGAGGTAGCACTATTGTTAAATGCAATGAAGCTGGGTGTGGGGGCTGTCACATCTTTTCAGATATGACTGTTGACTCCCTGAAGCACCATCATTACAAGGTAATATGGATTCTTCTTCTTTTTAATTTCAATTGTATTCATGCTTAGAAATGAGGTTTTAATTGTCACTCTAGATGGTTTAACACACTGATTTGGTCAAATAAAATTTTTAGGTCATTATTTCATTACTAGATTATGTAGTTTTCTTCAGCTTTACAGTTATATAATATTATAAGATTTAAATTACAATAACAGTTTTGTGGCCAGTGTTGAGGCTGTCTGGAGAACCATTTGGTTGTCCAGCACTGCATCTGAGATCAGACTCAGGGCAGCTGAAGGAACCTGAGT